ACACATAAGATAATCTAATAAAATTGTTAGTGGTAAGATTCCACTTATTACAACAAAATAATTTTTATTTATAACCTTCATTTTTACTAGTGTTAAAATTTATATATTATTTAATTTGTAAATGTTACATACACGTATAATAATATAAAATTTTATTTGCTAAAAAGATTGAATAGTAATTTAGTATAATTATGGAAAATGGCATATTTGAAATTGCATAATTTCAGCCTGAAAAGTTAGAATAAATTTTTACCGCAAGTCTACGACAAAGGCCCACACCTTAATTCTCGCGTAATAAATAAAATAAAGGCAGACTGATTAATTTGGGGCGGCGCAACGCAAGATAAAGACCGGCGACCCCACGCGACGCGCAGAGTAGAATACATACGGCACCGCATACGAACCAAACAAGTACACTACGAACTTCCCCCTTACTATACTCCACCGCCAACTGTCAGTTTGTTAGGGCTACTGAGTGTATCTACATAATATAGAGAAATGCTAAGGTCTCGTTATGGAACCATTCCGTCGAGTTTGTAACCGTTAGATCATCATGTAACCGTCGGAGATAGTTGATCTAACGGTTACAAATCCGACGGAATGGTTTCGTAACGAGACCGTAACATCTTCCCATAATATAATGTCGTACTTTTAATTTGACATGGTTTTATTTATGTTGTGAAATCGAACAAAACGAGCATGTGTTTGAGCACTTCGACCTCATATTTGATTATGTTTGAACAATACTTGTATTGTTCGTTCATTATTAAAGCAGAAAATTATATTTGTAAGGCAAAACTAGTAACAAGTTTATTGAAATTATTTGATTATCTCAGAAATCGGATTGGTTCAAAATCCAAAAAACAATTCTTTTAATAAAAAATTTATCCGAGATTTTTGGATATACGATTTCGTTAGTAAGGGTTGATTATCTCAATTTCTTTGTTTTGTTTTGATTTTTAATTAATCAAGGTTAATTTGAAGATGTTATAGTTAGTTAGTGAGATTTTGAGTTAATATGGTGAATTGATGAATATCGTATTAAAGTTAATATAGTGTATAAAATAGACTGAGTAATATTATTTAATTATATTGATAATATTTAAAATAGTGAGAGTGAGTGAAAATTCAGTTAAAAAATGGTTGAAGTAAAAACATTTGAATTTTGTCTAGATTTCTTGAATCCAAGCAAACATATTTTTTTATTAGAACTTTGTAATAAACATATCACACATAAATAATATAATATATGTATAAATTATATTATATTAATAGTTGCAAAAATTCGCGAAGAGACTCGTGCTTGTTCGATTGACAAACGAATCTAATTTTATGTTGTTATTCATAAAATGTATCGATATGTATAATCATTAATTACGTGATGATGACGTAGATGACAAGTTTATCGGTGGTATACAAGGCGGTATACAAAATGTCGACCAAACACCCAAATAAAAATACATTGGCATCGGAGCATCCAAATGGGTGTTGATGTCATCCTCTCACTGCGGCCCACAGATGTGTCAGACATACGTCTTTATGACGTAGAAGGGTAATCTCCTAGCATCGAGAATAAACACATATAAAACTCCTTTCGTGCCGATCTCGCCGCACAGTGTCAAAAAAATCGCAGCTCAAAACCGGTACGCACCACCAAAATGATCAGCAACTTGAGAAAGTTGTTATGCCACGCGACATCTTGCATGTAATATACCCACTGAAAAATGCGATGTGTCTCGACAATAATAAAACTTATTGAACATTCATAGTGTTCAAAAACGATAATAGAAAGCTAAAGCAACAAGAGCCCCTAGGGCAATTAATAGTAGCAAAAGCTAGCGTGTTAACTCGAGCATTCGATTCTCCTTGACTTTCAATTCTTAAATCCCTGAGCATTCAAATTTCTTATTGTCATTTTGTTCTTGAATTTCCATAAACTTACTTTGTCGTAGTCTTGTTGATATTAACTGTCAACATCTCTTACGATATGTAAATATATATATGCATATCTACATTAGGTTTAAGAGTTGTGCTCTATGTATACATACAGTGTACAACTTCGTAAACCTACCGTAAATATACATATCGAAATATTTTCTGTTCGTGCACGACTCAATTAACATACAAATGTTTTTATTGAACACGAACTAGTTCGGACGAGCATTTGTTGACCAACTATCGGTTTTGTAGTAATAATAATCACGATAATTCGTCATCATCCTATACCACCCAACCTCGGACCTACTTCTCACCATCTCTCCAATCTACTATTAACACGTGTGTCCTTGCTTCCCCATACGCGGCTTTCTAACAAACAAACCGGCGTCTTTCTCACTCCTTTTTTTGTTTGGCTTTTAATTTTCATTCCTTACTTAAGTAGCCTCTCTCTCTCTCTCTCTCCCTCTCTCTCTCTCTCTCTCTCTCTCTCTTTGTTGGTTGAAATTATAGTGGCATGATAATAACGGGGCTTGAAGTGATATATTTCATCCAAAGACTTGTTCGCTGAAGCTTACATTTGGAACCAATAAATGCTGCTGCTTTTCGTGACTCGCGTTATTCCAGTACTATCCTGTGGATAAACTAATTTATGGGCTTTTTTATGTCACAAATTAAATTGTTGACTGTCGGCATTATGCAAAATAATAATATTTCTTAAGCTGTTACAATCTTTTTATGAATTATTAAATAATTCTTCATTTTTATTTTATTTTTTTTTATTTTTTTTATCTTTTAGCTAAATTGTGACGTGCGTAGTTAGCTTTTTTTTTTTTTTTTTTTTTTTTTTTTTTTTT